GATTACAGGCACGCACCACCATGCCCAGCTAATTTTTTGTATTTTTAGTAGAGACGGGGTTTCACCATGTTGACCAGGATGGTCTTGATCTCTTGACCTCGTGATCCACCCACCTTGGCCTCCCAAAGTGCTGGGATTACAGGCTTGAGCCACCGCGCCCGGCCAGTGTTTGCGTATTCTTGAGGGATATTTTCACTGACTGTAGAGCTCAGGATTAACATATTTTAAAATCTTATCTCTTCTAAGATATTCTTCCATCCACAGTCTTCCAGTCTCCATAGTTGCAAATGAGAAGTCAGTGGTCATTCAGGTATACTCCTATACGTGATGTGTTATTTTTGAACTGGCTGCTTTCACCAGTTTCTTTTTAGCTTTGGTTTTCATCAGTTTGACTATTATGTGCCTAAGTGGGGTTTTCTTGTAGTTATCCTACTTAGATTTGCTAAGCTTCTCAAATCTGTGTTCCATTCAACAAAAGGTTCTGACAATATATATATATTTGGCTTGAAACAACAGTAACTTCTTCTTTTTTTTGAAATGTGTTTATTTTTTTAAACAGAAATTTATCATACAATTTCACAATCAAAAAGTATTTTCTGGGCAGGGCACAATGGCTCATGCCTGTAATCCCAGCACTTTGGGAGGCCAAGGTGAGCAGATCACCTGAGGTCAGGAGTTTGAGACCAGTCTGGCCGACATAGTCAAATCCTGTCCCCACTAAAAATACAAAAATTAGCTGGGTGTGGTGCCACGGGCCTGTAATCCCAGCTAGAGGCAGGAGAATTGCTTGAACCAGGGAGGCAGAGGTTGCAGTGAGCCGAGATGGCACCACTACACTGCAGCCTAGGTGACAGTGCGAGACTCTGTATATAGATCTCCACATCTCCAGCAAGCATCCTACTGTTCTTTAAAAACTCAGCCACCATACTGTTCATCAGCTTGTCAAAGGCTTCCACAGAGGGTGCCACACCTCCATTGACACTGTTGACTTCCCTGCAGTCCCCAGGGGGCCTGTGGGACTCGGCAGACAGAGACTCCAGGCGGCTGACAGCTCATTCCAGTCTTTCCACCAGTCCCTGCATGTCGGCCATTCTGCTTCGCTGCCCCGGGGTCCCGTCCTCGGCAACGCAAATCCGTGGTCATCCAGTGCGCCCTCCTCCCACAGCCCTCCCCTTCTCCCACTAACTTCTTTTCTTAACATTTCTGTAAAAGTCTTACATGGGTCTCAATGGGCTAAAATCAAGCTGAGTTTGACTCCCTTCTGAAGGTTGTAGGAGAGAACCTATTTCTGTGGTTTTTGAAGCTTCTAGAAGCTATCCACATACCTTGGCTTGTGACATCTTTCCTTCATCTCCAAAGCAGTAACAGTGTATCTCTTTGACTGGTCTTCATAGTCACATCATCTCTTTTTTCTTCATTTTCTGCTTTTAAAAATTTCAATAGTTTTGGAGGGAACAGGTGGTGTTTGCTTACATGGACAAGTTCTCTAGTGGTGACTTCTGAGATTTTAGTGCACCCACCACCTGAGCAGTGTACATTGTACCCAACGTGTAGTCTTTTATCCCTCAACCCTTCCCCTTAGCCCCCAAAGTCCATTATATCATTCTTATGCCTTTGCATCCTCATAGCTGAACTCCCACTTATAAGTGAAAGCATACAATATTTGGTTTTCCATTCCTGAGTCACTGCATTAGAAGCCTCTTCATTGAGAACACCTTGGCTATTATTTCTTTAAATACCTTTTCTGTCTCATCCTCTCTCCTCATTCTGTGACTTTATATATGTATAAGTTGAACTTTTGAGGCTGTCCCACAAGTACTTGAAGCTCATTTAAAAAATTGTTTTCTCTCTGTTTGTCAAATTGAATAACCTCTATTGTCCCTTCTTAAAATTTCTTTTTCTTATTTCATACCCATTTTGCTTTTAATTCCACCTAGTAGCTTTTAAAGCTTCACGCATTATATTCTTCACTTGGAAAATTTCCATTTGGTTATTTTTTTAATAGACTCTGTTTTTTATAGTTTCTCTTTTTATGCCAAAATTTCCTATCTTTTCATTTTGATGAGCATATTTTCCTTTACATCTTTGATGTCTTTTTCCTCCGTGGTTATCATCACAGCTTTAAAAATAATTGTCTGCCAGTTTCAACATTGACATCATCTTGAGGACAGTTTTCATTGATTGTCTTTTTCTCTTGAGAATGTCACTTTTTTCCTGTTTCTTTATATGTCAAGCAATTTTGTATTGAACACAGGACATTAGGGATATGTCATAAACACTCTGGATTCTGTTATAATCTGAACTGCATTAATTTTTTGGGGTTTTTCAGTAGGGATATAACTTGACTGGAATCAAATGCAAAGTCTCCTACTCCTACACCCGTTGCAGCTGAAATCTTTGTTCAGCTTATTTAGCCTTAGCTGAGCTTCTTGGAGTCTGACCTATGAATACATACGTGGTCAAGAGGCCAGCAGATATTTGGACAGCTATACGCAGAATTTGGGGCTACTTCTTTCTGCCTCTGTGTCTGTGATTTCTAATTTCCAGCAGCTATTTTTTTTTTTTTTTTTTTTGAGACGGAGTTTTGCTGTTGTTGCCCAGACTGGAGTGCAATGGCACAATCTCGGCTCACTGCAACCTCCACCTCCTGGGTTCAAGCAATTCTCCGGCCTCAGCCTCCCGAGTAGCTGGGACTACAGGCATGCACCATTATGCCCAGCTAATTTTTGTATTTTTAGTAGAGACGAGGTTTCACCTTGTTGACCAGGATGGTCTCGATCTCTTGACCTCGTGATCCACCCGCCTCGGCCTCCCAAAGTGCTGGGATTACAGGCTTGAGCCACCACGCCCGGCCTAACCAGTAGCTATTTTTGCCCTAAATTCTGCTCTCTAATTATAAAGGGCAGTAAACCTTTCCTTAATTTTTTTGTGAGATAGAGTCTTATTCTATTGCCCAGGCTAAAGTTCAGTGGCACTATTAAAGCCCACTGCAATGTCAACCTCCAGGCTCAAGTGACCCTCCCACCTCAGCCTTCCAAGCAGCTGGGACCACAGGCATGAACCACCACACCCAACTAACTTTTGTAATTTTAGTAGAGATGGGGTTTCTCCATGTTGCCCAGGCTGGTCTCAAACTGCTAAGCTGAAACAATCCTCCCACCTCCACTTACCAAAGTCCTGGGATTACAGGCGCGAGCCACCATGCCCAGCCTTTTTGGTTTTTTTCTTTTTTAAATAAAAATCTTAACTGCCTTTCACAGCACCGATTGAAACCTGCCTTCAGACTAAACTCATGGACTAGGAAATTCACCAATGATATTCTCATTTTCCTTGTATTCACTCCATTTCAGTATCTGCCTGGTCTGTCACTCTCCAGTGCCTTTGGATAGTTATTTTGTATATTCTTCCCAGAGTTTATTATTGTTACCTGCAGTAGCATTGATCATATGGGAGTTGGTCAGCCATATTGGAAGTGGATATTCTTCATCTCGTTTAAATGAGTAACGCAAATGGCCCTATCTGAGAGACTGTAATCCTGAGTCTGGAAGGACACAAAATCAGGGCATGTTACAGAATGGGCTGGAGAACAGTCACCTATGGTTCTTTAAAATTGGACTGGGGATTTTTAGAATCATAAACCAGACTGGCTTCTGTGCAAATCCTCTGTTTTGTGCATTAGTAAGTTGGGAATAGTATTAACAAATAGTCAGTGTTGATTAAGTGTTTACTAGTCCAGTGTTAAGCCCCTAAATGCATATGAGATTGGATTGCTTTTAGTGGGAAATTTTGCAGAGGAGGAGACTGAGGTTTTGTGATAGATAGTATCACTACTATAGGTGATAGTAGTTTGCGTGATTAATCACTAATAATAATGATGGCTCGTATTTATTGTATTATTATAATGTTGTAGATAATGCACTAGGGACTCTGTTTATGTTATCTCATTGAATCCTCCCAACAACCCTACAATGTAAGTGCTGTTAACAAACAGAGACTAAAAATGCTAAGTAAGGCAGGTATGGTGGCTCACACCTTAATCCCAGCAGTTGAGGAGGCTGAGGCAGGAGGATCGCTTGAACCCAGGAACTTAAGACCAGATTGAGAAACAGAGTGAGACCTTGTCTCTACTAAAAATAAAAATTTAAAAAAATTAGTAGGGCCTGATGGTGTGCGTCTGTAGTCCCAGCTACTCAGGAAATGGAGATGGGAGGATTGCTTGAACCTGGGAAGTTGAGGCTGCAATGAGTTATGATCACCCCACTGCACACCAGCCTGGGCAACAGAGCAAGACCCTGTCTCCAAAAAAAATAAAAAAATAAAAAAATAAAAAAATAAAAAAAAAAAAAAAAAAAAAAAAAAAAAGGCTACATAACATGTCCAAAGTCACATAATTAGCAAGGAACAGATCTGGTACTTGAACACAGGCAGATTAGCTCCAAGCCTATCTGCTTAACTCTGTACCACAATGCCTACTTGCTATAAGAAGACATCTGAGAAGACCTGTCACCTTATAAGTCCTGTTCAGAGGCATGCTGCCTTCCTCTTAGTAATACCAGATTGGCTTCCACAGAAGGCTGTGGGCCTCGCTGGCACATACACCTGGGCAGCGCCCAGCAAATATCTGTGGAGTCTGAATCAACCCCAAAGCCCATATCTGTCCATCATGAGGAACCCCAGCCTCCAATGCAAAAGAGGAAATCTTCCTAAGCAGGAATAAACTGCAGCGAATTGCAGAGGTTCTCTCGTCCTGCTTTTCACTTCACGTTTTGGATACAGCAGGCCGGGTGAGCGGAGATCCCAGGCACTGGCCAGGGCCACTGCCCTGATTCCAACAGCTGCCATGAACCACTTCCAGGCCATCCTGACTCAGGTGCGAACGCTGCTCTCCAGCCATCGGCCCAGCCTGGTGCAGGCCCTCCTGGACAGCCTGCTGAAGGAGGAGCTCCTCTCCAGGGAATACCACTGCACCCTGCTCCATGAGCCTGATAGCGAGGCTCTGGCCAGGAAGATCTCTTTGACCCTGCTAGAGAAAGGAGACCTGGACTTGGCCCTCCAGGGGTGGGCCTGGAGTGGGTTGCAGCCCCCAGCGACCAGGAAAGGCCCCAGCCACAGGGACCATGGTGGTAAGTTGGCATCACTTTTACTCAAGGAGAAATGACAGGCTGTAGGTAGCTCAAGGATATTCCCTCCTCTCTGAAAGGGAAGTCAAATGGGAAGGCAGACGGGTGAGAAATCCAAGCATCTGGTGAGCTGGCAGGAGCAGCAAAAGCTTGGAGCACTGCCTCTATGCCTGGGTGTGCTAGAGTGTACAGCATGCTTCCCGCTCTGCTGGAAGGGACCGTCCCAGAGGCACGCAGCCAAATGTCTGCTTGTGTTCACTCCCTGGGCCCTGACGATACGCCAGCACTAACAGGGCACTGATGGACAGATCAGCTCCTGCCTTCAAGGGGCTTGCAGTCTAGTGGGGAAGATGGATGCGGGCACAATCAGTGTGAGTCAAAAAGAGAGAAATGTGGCCAGGTGCAGTGGCTCACGCCTGTAATCCCAGCACTTTGGGAGGCCGAGCCAGGTGGATCACCTGAGATCTGGAGTTCGAGACCAGCCTGGCCAACATAGTGAAACCCCATCTCTGCTAAAAACAATAAAAATCAGCCAGACATGGTGGTGGGTGCCTTAATCCCAGCTACTCAGGAGGCTGAGGCAGGAGAGTTGCTTGAACTCAGGAGGCAGAGGTTGCAGTGAGCTGAGACTATGCCACTGCACTCCAGTCTGGTCAACAGAGTGAGACTCCATCTCAGAAAAAAAAGAAGAGAAATGGGGTGCAGAGAGAGGAGCCAGGGAAAGAGCCGAGAGCAGAGGCTGCCGTGTGTGCATGTGTGTTTATATGCATTTGTTTATGTGTACATGTGTGTGTCTGTGTGACACACAGAGACAAACTGAGCAACAGACAGAAGGAGAGTGAGGAAGGAAGGGAGAGACAGACATAGAGACTGAGAGCTGCACAGACAGGGAGAAAGGGAGGCAGAGAAAGGAAGACTGACAGAGGAAGAGAAAGAGGGAGAAGACGGGGAAAGAAAGACAGAGAAACAGAGAATAAGAACTAGCTTGCAAGGAGAGAGAACAAATGCCTCAGTTTTGAGAGCATTGGTGACACACCTACATCTTCAACCAGAAAGACCAGTCTGCACGTGCTCTTTCCGCTCCGCTCACACCCTCGACTCCTCCGACATTTTTGGTTTCCTACCAGTCACAAAGAAGTTCTCCCTTCATTTCCATGTCACAACTTCCTTTCTTTCTTTGAGCTGGGGTCTGTTCTGTTGCCCAGGCTGGAGTGTAGTGGCGCGATCACAGCTCACTGCAGCCTCTACCTCTGGGGCTCAAGTGATCCTCCTACCTCAGCCTCCCAACTAGCTGGGACCGCAGGCGTGCACTGCTATGCCTGGCTAATTTGTTTTGTAGAGATGAGGTCTCACTGTGTTGACCAGGCTGCTCTCAAACTCCTGAGCTCAAGCCATCCTTCCGTTTTGGCCTCCTGAAGTGCTGGGCTTACAGGTGTGAGTCACCGCACCCGACCTGGTCGTCACTTTCTAAAGACAGTGTGTGTTCTATCTCCTTCTCAAATGCAAGTCTTGAGAAAATAACAGTGATGGACATTCACTGAGGATTTAGTGTGCCAGGCAAGGCCCAAGCACATTCTGGAATCCCCTTACTTCTCCCTTGACCCTGAGCCCTTTGATCCCCATCCTTATTTAACACTTAGAGAACAGACACTGCCCAGTGGTGACACAACTTGCCCAGGTCCCCTAAGTGGGAAGTGGTGAAGGCTGGATTTGAAGACAGACACGTTTTGATCTTCAACTTAGTCTTCAGAGCATCAGATGCCGTCTGGAGGCCTTATCTTGGGCACCAGGGCAATGTCATTTTCCAGCTTTCCTGCCGAGACATACATTTCTATGGGGTTGGCTCTTCTTGTGGTCGAATTCTCACCCAAGTGGTTTCCATCATCTCTTGGCCTCAGCTTTCATTCTCTTCCTCCTGACAGACACCTGGGTGAAGGGGCATCTTTACCACCCAAACATTCTCCCTTGGCTTCTCAACAGGGGTGCAGACAGCCAGTGTGGTCTTGACAGCGGCACAGATGCCAACTGGGGGAGAAGCCAGAACCCTCCCCTCTCCCTGGCCGCAGCCCTGCCGCCCCAGCCACATGTGCCTTCACACGGCTGCTGCAGGACACTTCAGCCCCTCCCACCCCCTCCTTCCGAGAGTGCTGGTTCCTGTTATTTAACTCTGTTTCCTCCCTTGGGAGGTAGTATTTTTATTTCTGATCCCACGTGACTCCAGAAAGTGGAACTGCGCTCAGGGCCCAGTGTGGTCTTTGGGGAGCTGGGAGGGGAGCAGGGCAAATTGCTTTCTTTCCCTGCTTTCTCTTTCTGCCTTTCCAGGCCAGTTTCCCTCAGGGCCACCAGGCCTAACATGTGGCAGTGAGCAGGTGTGTTGCTGCTGGTGAGCTCTCAGAGGGGAAGAGGGCAAGGAAAGAGAATTGCATGGTTTGCAAACAAAGGGCCCTGACTTTCATTTCGGGGGTGTTCAGAAAAGGAAATCATCCATATGGGGTTTTTGTGACTCTCCCTCTCAACCACCGTGTAAGGACCGTAGCCCTCTGCTGTGCTAAACGCTGCACTGGCTCCCACGTCACTCAGAGGAAAAGCTACATCCGGACAACAGCCCACAAGGCCTTTCCCACCTGATCACCTCTCTGCTCTCATCCCCTGCTCCTGCCTGCCTTGTTCATCTACTCCAGCCATGCTGGCACCCTCGCTGTTCCTCAGACACACTCAGCACACTGTCTGCCTCAGGACCTTTGCATGTGCCCTTCCCTCTGCCTGGGGCACTCTTCTCCAAGCTTCTTCTTGGTCCACCTCCTAAAGTCCTTCTACTCTTTGCACAAATGTCACCTTATCAATGAGGTCTGCCCTGACCAAGCCATTTAGAATTGGAACTCCTCCCTCCACACTCTGAGTCCCCTCCCCAGCTTGATTTTTTCCCCACCTTCTTTTTTTTTTTTCCTGAGTCTTGCTCTATCACTCAGGCTGGAGTAGAGTGGTGTGATCTCAGCTCACTGCAACCTCCACCTCCCGGGTTCAAGTGGTTCTCATGCCTTAGCTGCCTAAGTAGCTGGGATTACAGGCATGCACCACCACACCCATCTAATTTTTGTATTTTTATTAGAGATGCGGTTTTACCACATTGGTCAGGCTGGTCTCAGACCCCTGACCTCAAGTGATCCACCCGCCTTGGCCTCCCAAAGTGCTGGGATTACAGGTGTCAGCCACCATGCCCAGTCATCTTACTTTTGTATTGCGTGTGTTGTTTATTGTTTGACTCTTCTCCTGAAAAAATAAACTCCACATGGACATGGATCTATGTTTTGATTATGATATGTCCCAAATACCTAGCACAGGGCCTGAGCACAGGGTAGGTATGCAATATACACAATATATATTTGTTGAATGTTGAGTGGATGGATGGGTGGATGCGTGGGTGGATGGAAGAATGGATAGTTCATTATTCCTACTTTACCAATGAGTAAACTGAGGCACAGAGAAGTTAAGTGATTGGCCTCTGGGCATGAACTGAGGAGGGAGACTATGAGGTCTCATGAGTCCTGGCCGATTGCAGTACTTTCTGCAAAATAAGGTACAGTTTTGGCTTCCTCTTCTAAACAACTCAAGGGGCTGCCGTAAATCTACCACAAATAGGTTGACAATCTTCAAACGGAAACCAGCCTGATGATTCAGAAGGCATCTTCAGATATCGCAGTGCTTGGGTTGCAATTGTGCAGAAAGCCCAATTCTGGAGATGAGGGCTTAGGGGTTTTGCTCTATGCTATGCAGAGCAACCTGTGTGCGTCCGGCCCCAGGAAAGCTCCAGTGAGTCCCAAGAGTCTGGTCCTTGCCCTGGAGGAACTCAGGTGGCTCAGTGGGAAGGGAAAGCAAACATTCAGGCAGTCCCTGGTCAACGGTGAGTGACAACCTCTGGGAGGGCCGGCAGAGGCCGGAGAAGGGAGAGCTAGGATGAGTGATGCTGGGAAAGGAACCAGGCTGGAAGCTGGACAGCTCTGGGTCTGAGGCCAGGCTCTGCTCCTTACACAGCATGTGACCTTGGCCACGCAACCAGACCACTCGGAATCTCAGTTTCTTTATCTCTGAAATGGGGGCAATGATATGAATCTCCCGGAGCTCTAGTGAGTGTTAAATGAGATGGTAGGTAGAAACCTTCCAAGGTAGTGCTTGGCATTACTTAGCACTAATTAAACACCAGGCAACTCTAAGGAAGATAACAGCAAAGAGAAATGAACAGGAAGAAGATAAAACAGGTGTCCGAAGCACCAAGAAAAATAATGACTGCAGTCTCCCTGGGGGCCCCAAACAATATCTACGCGCCTACTCTATACAAAATGCAGCACTGAATGCTTGAGTGCTGTGCACATTTGAGAAATGAATCAATGTGGCCCCTGCCCTTGGGTTGGCACATCGAATTAGCACATGGGCCATGTCCTCAGACAGCCTGAGTGCCCGTCCTGCCTTCCCAATTCCAAGAGGGATGACTTTGAGCACTTCCCGGGCACCCTGCCTTGGCTTCCCCATCTATAAAGTGGAGCTAACACGTAGCATTCAGAGTCGCTAATTCAAGGGCTCAGGGACATCATCCAGTGTGAGGCCCACACATACTCTGCAAGAGGAAGGTGGTTCTGACTCAGCTCCAAGGCTGGCATCTGAGGCAGCCACGAGCCCAGCTTGAATGGTGGAAGGATGTCTTTAAGTGAGGGCAGCCCCAGCTGGCCTTGGGTTTGACCATGGAATTCGAGGCACAAAAGGGCCCATTTTGCAGACTTTCTCAGCGTCTGTAGGGTACCCCGGCCAGGGTCTTATATTTTATTGATTCCTTTGACTCTACTTTGTTGATTGTTTTGGTCATCCTGTTTTCATTGTGTGGTATTTTTGTCCATGAGGTCTCAGTTCTAGGAATAACAGAACGAAGCCTTCCTCTGGAAAGTTGCCTGATTTATGGGAAAGGGAGGAACACCCCACAGATAGCTAAGCTCCCTTTCTCCAGCTTCCTCCCCTGTCTGGCTCTTAGGATATGAGAAACCAGAGC